CAAGGGCTGTGCTCTTTCATGCCTTTGCCCTGCCTGGCCTATATAAGGACAGCTAATTTATTGCTTCCTGAGTTCTCTTTTTTGCCTTTTTTTTCCCCTCTTCAGCCTCCCTAGAAAGAATGTAGGTTTGAGACGTACAAAAACAGTGAAACAAAAGAACCACCCCACTGTTATAAACAGGCATGGCATAAACTTTGAGGCAAGGGATAAAAATAGTTATAGGGAAAAAGGTATAGGTATTAAAAAGGCATAAACAAACCTAAGACTCTAACCATATAAACTTTTAACTTTTATTCTCTTTAACTCTCCTCGCTTTCTCCTGTTTGCATCTTCCTAATTGCATCTGAATTATTTTCTATGACAAGAAGTTTTTTAGGAGCAACTGAAATACTGAAAAATAACTTTCATTTTAATAATTTTGGTACTATGCTATTTTGTTCCTTTTTACTCTACCCTTCATAATCCTTTGAATGCAAATGGAAACGCTTATTGTGCTTTTTTACAATGTTCATATTGGCAATCACTGCACAAGTCAAATGCGTTACGGACTTTTCCTCTGAAAACATTAATCTTGAAATTGTCATGCCACAGATAACAAAACACACTGCATCTGCTTCATTTTGAAATGTCAAATGACATACCATAAATATGAATAAATAATGAAATGAATAAAAATACAGTGGGACATGGATTTAACTGTTGGTTTGTAAGACAAATTCAGGACTGTGTTATGCTTTGGAATATATTGGAAATAGTATTTGGCCTAAAAATCAGTTATCATTCAATTTTCATAATCTGTACAGAAAATATAAATATTCTTGCATTTGTCATGTACACACTCGGTTGCCAACTGAGCATGTATACAGAGAATATCCAAATGGAAGTTTAAAAGCAAACAAATCAATACATACATGAAAATAATCCTCTCAATCATTTATATTTGTTGAATGGAAGTTTAAAAGCAAACAAATCAATACATAAATGAAAATAATCCTCTCAATCAATAATTCAAAGCATAAAATAATGACCCTCAGCACTGAAGGAAACAAACTTTGAGACATTAATGTGAATGTTGAGTATTACTGGACAGCCATAATGTAACATTTGGGATAGTACCATATTCAGTCTTTATGGGATCTGATGAAAAAGAAATTCAGTGGAGGCTGCCCAAGAGGAAACTTAACACATCTATGTAGTTCTTCTACTAAAATAATTTTTTAGTGATAGGAAAAACATTAACTTTATACCTGATGTTGCACACATATTTTAGTTGAAAAATGTACTTACTATGAAAAGAATGAGGATCACCAGCTTTTCCTATGATATGAAATGCTCACTAGGAGCTAACCTTGCAGTAGAATACTGTAATCTTTTATTCAGTGAAGGTTTTTTCAGTAAACTCTTCATATGCATTAGACTCAAGCTGCATTAAAATAAATGCTTCTACTTAAAACTCAGTTCCACAGCCATCCTAAATTTGGCGTACTAGGGATACTTTCTGCATCATTCCTTAAATTCCTGTAGAGACCTCTCCCACTTTCAGCAGCAGCTTCTCCTTAAAACTCCAACAAGGTCTCTTTCTTTGCGTGTTAGATTTATAAATATAGACTCTTTACTTGGCAAAATGAAAACAAATAAAAACCCCAAACAAATAAACAATAGTAAATGGATTAGTTTTCTGAAAACATTGTATATTCCTTTGCTCTCCTCTCTTCTCCACCCCCTGTCCCCTACAAAATTAAAGTTCTGGTAGCCATACTGCTGAAATGCACTTATAATGCAAATTTCTTGAACTCCTCAACCACTGGAGTTCAAGGATATTTGCTGGACTTAGAAAATCCAGTAAAGAGTTTGTTTTTTTTAAATAAGAATCTATTACAAGAATATACTGAAGACTTCCCATGTTGATCATTGATTTATTTGCAGGGGCACTATTAAATAAAACAATTGCAAAGGTGTTTTATTTCCAGTGTGTAAGAAAAGTATCTCAATTAATCCACTGCCTGAATATATTTACAGGAGCACACAGGTCACAGACAAAGATACTGAAAAAAGATCCATTCAAGCAAACCCTTATTAAAATCTCGTTTTCGACTAAGTTATAGAACAAATATAAGGGGAAAAACACAATGGCAGTTTCTGACAAGTCATACACACAGTGTAATAGGATGTAAACTCCTTTTCCTGATACACTGTCTGGAAGAGATACCTCTCAAATGCACACAGAGGAGGAAGACTGGAGAATTACCACTAATTCATATCTCCTACCTTTCTGTAGGGACCACCTTGTTTTTTCACAGTATCACTCTCTCTTTTCTACAACAATTACATAGTTTAATACCCATGAGGAGTTTATGTCTGTCACACCATAGTATTGTGATTTTTGTTGCTATCTTGCAGTAGAAGGCTGTCTAGTGCTATTGTTCAATGCTTTAGTACATGTTTTATGGCATAGAGATGACTATAAACAAAACCACAAATAAAAGCCTGTGCTAATCAAAGTAACAGCGAGAAATATTTGTGTGCTTTGCAAATTAAGTACCTGTAAAGACTGACATCAGCTGTATTCTCCTCTTGTCATTAGTATCAGGACGCCCATCAAGTATTGGCCGATCAGGCCAGAATTATAATCAGCAGCAGCTGCATAAAAAATGGTAGTTACGGCTGCTGGAAAGTCCCTAAAAAAGTCCAGTGTTTAGCCACTTGACTTCCATCCTGAACAGTAATGATCCAAATGGGGTAAAGAGACAGAAGAGCTATATGACACCTAACAGCCCCAACTGTGTAAGCATCCAATGATCTATTGAGTGTTGTAGCAGACAGTGTTGTACTCTCTGATGGATGTTCTCCTCCAACACTAATGATAATGATTTATTAACTCATCTATGGGCTTTGCTAACTGGAATGAAGGACACAAGTAGTTTTCCTTTTTTTTTTTTTTTAATTTTAAATGAAATGTCAAAGGATGGCATTTGTACAGCTGGTTGCACTTTCAAAACCCAATGTTCTGCAATACCTGTTCAATGAGAGTTTGCCATACAGAAAAATTGCAGGATTGGGTAAAAAATTAAGAGTTTTCAACTACACTGTTTTCTAACAGCAATATTTTCAGTCATGCCAAAGCAGAGATGTTTGGAGTACTATCTGTAAAAATACAATTCCAGCGGAACTCTGTATTATTACACAATGATTTTACATTGCTGCAAATTTTCAGGTTCACTTTAATAAAAAAGACCTACTTAATGAAAAAAGTGTAATCCAGAAAACACTACATGTCTTTATTCCATTTTTTTTTTCCATCTCATATGGAGGTTTTGTACCTCCATAGAAGAGGTAAGGGCATGAATAGATAAAATCAATAGTAACAAATTGCCAAATGACATTCAGTCAAGAACTGGATGATATGGTTGAACCAACTATTGACCTGTAAGTCTGATGCCTGTAGTAAGCAAATTAGTGGAAACTGTAAGAGCAGAATTAGGGGGCACATGGATAAGTATGACAGACGAGAGAAGAGTCAACGTGTCCCTTATAAAGAGGATTGTTGGCTCACAAAGCTATTGAAGTTCTTTGAGGGGATCACCAAGTCTTCAGATAGGGGTGATCTTGTTTATATAATTATTTGGATTTTGGAGAGTGTTTAAAGGGAACAGACACACGGTAAGAGGGAATGTCCCTCCATGAATTAAAAAACTGGCTCAACAATAAAAATAGTAGGTAGTTAGTTACTTCCCACAGTGACTGGCAGCTATCAGTGCAGATCTGGAGAGATTTGTTCAAGGCGTATGCAGTTCAGCATAATCATAGACATTTCGTAATGGGCATTGGGCAGTGAAGCAACCAAATGTTTTGATGGTATTTTGTTATTCAGGATAATAGAAGGTCTCTGACCAGAAAGGCTTACAAGAAGGGTCCCTACAAAATTTGGTCAATAAAGTAAAAAATTATGCATAACATAGAAATCTAAAGGACTTTTGAGTAAGATCCTGGAATTGAGACAGGTATCTCCATGAAAACATACTCAATGGTTAATTTGGCTGTCAAAGAAAACAAAATGCTAAGCATTATTTGGAAAGGAATGGAGCACACAACTGTGTACATCATCCATAGTTCTTCATAAATACAAAAATATATGTTTTCCCTGCTTGAATACTATTTAGTTCTTGGCCCCACCAAAATGTAGTGAAATGGAATGATTCATAGAGGGATAAATGTGCATGCTAAATGTATTTATGTCTTCAAAAGTAAACTGGATATGTTCACAAAAGAGAAGCATTAACATAAATGTATAAAATAAAAATGTTGTCACTCTAACATACTATAAAAGGATCTGAATTGGGGCAGGGAGCAATGGATGGAAAATTTAGCTCTTGGAAGAATAGAGTAATTTTGACAAAGTAACTTTTTAACTAGAAATTCACTGAAGTCAATATTAATGATGAGTCCCAAAGATTCTCTAGAATGTTTTGTCCCTTGTACTCTTTTAATTACTTTGTTCTGTGAAAATATTGCCAAATGAATACAATGTTTTTTTTTATATTTCAAATATGATAAGCCATAGTCGGACATGTCTTATTACAGGAAAAACAAGACTGATAAATTATATGATTTCGTAAGGAATACTGGGGAAAATAATACTTCTGGATTTTCTCCCCAATGATTTCTGTGTCTTAAATCAGATCTTAAATACTTAGGAAAATGTGCTAAATATTAATTTCAATGTTGTAAAAGGGATTACTGGATACATATTTTTCTCTGCAGGAGAGTTGCCAGTGTGTTCTTATTTGAAAATGAACATTTCTTGCTGGCAAATCTAGTGTGTGAAATTCTTTCACAACATTAAAGCATACCTATTTTCCATATATTTTGTTTTAAAATGCCTTTATTTTTCCTCCTGAAAAAATCCCAGTAGTTGTAATCTCAAACCATGACATGTAATCAGCCCCCATCATCAAATAAAATAATTTCTACAGCATTAAAATTCATACCATGAGACTTACCTTTTCTGCTAACAATTCTCTGATCTTGCTTGCCTGGAGACGAAATTTCATTAACTGTGACTCCAGAGTTAAACATCTTTCCTTCCAGTTTACAGTGCCTTCTGGCTCTGAAATTTCAGCCATATTTATGCTGGAAAAAGACAGGGAAAAAATCCCCATGTCAAATTGAGTCTGTATTTAATGTCTGACTTTTTTTTAATATACATACCAACTTATTTTACATAAATCTCAAGTATGCCCCCAAATTTTGTACATGTACAGCATCATAAAACTTAGGAAAAGTACATTTGTCTAGAGGGGCCCTTATCATAACTGGGAGATTTCTGAAATCTGTGTTGATGATATTTAGGTTTATCATAACTTAATTTCTTCAATTATTTTGGGGCTGCCATATGTCTTCCTTGATAAGAAGAGACACATCCCGTATTTTAATTTTCAGTTACTGTATATTGGCTTTCTTACATAGAAGAGGCTTGTAGACAACTGAGCTTTTGCTAAGAAAATGCCTTATATCAGTGTAACCACCTGTGAGTTCGTAGTGCATTTGCTTTTATGCAAGTTTCATATTTGGCAGACGGCTCTTTAAAAAGTGTTTTAAAATTCTTATGCTTAACCAATTTGCATTTAAAATTTAATATCCTTAATTAGACACAAGGGGGAGTTTATGGTTCCAAATATAAAGGCAGGTGAGCAAACAGTCCCGAACGGGTGCCCCCCCTGAAAAAAAATCCCTTTATATTAGCAGTTGCAGATCTCAAGACAACCCAATTCACACATGTTTCGGGTTCAAATCTGTGCTTTTATCTACATTTAACTGCTCATGTCTTCTGGAAACTAAGCTCAGTGCCCTTTTGGACAAGCACTGCTGGAAAAATTACTCAGGATGAGCTGGCCATCATGGTTTGAGTCTGAGAAGCCAAGAAAATCATCTGTGTGTAAGCAGAAGGACTGGGCTCTGTTGTATTCCAACTGTTTGTAGACAGCTTAATAGAGAGTAAGTGGATGGCTGAATGTAACCATTCAGTCCAAGAAGTCTCCTTGCAAGCAAAGGCCCTGAACGCATAGGTTTGGCTTTTAAAATAAAGCCTGAATTCCCCCTAAGTATTCAATTTATTTCTGAAATAATTAACAGCCATAAAAACACCACTCAGTGGAAGGCAACTGGAAGATCACAACAAACAAAAAATTACTAGTTACGCTGCATTTTCGTCACCTTTGTCATGGACAATGAGACGCTGACAAGGAAAGGCAAGTAGCAACCGTTTTCAGTGTGATCGAAGAGGCTGGCACAGGAAAATCACACATAATATAGATAACTAGACGGCAACTTCTGACCCAGTTAGCATGGATTAATAAGCAACATCTTTGAGAGCCCCCCTCCCCATGACTACTCCAGTCCTTCAGAAGCCTGGGTCTAAGCACTCCCTCCCGCTGTTGGAGGGGGCAGTCCCAGTTTGCCTCCTTCCCCAAGCTCTCATCAGCCAGAGGGAAAGGACCTATAGATTTATCTTTTCCACTGTTCCTGACACCAGGAAGAAAAAAGGAGAAGGCAAAGCATCGCAAGAGAGATCAAAGTCATGAGCAGGATACCAAAAAGTCCGTAACTTTTCTTTGATACATTAATACTTTCTAGTTCTCTTCTAAATTTTCAATGTCTCAAATTACTCTCAAGTTCATCATAGCTAAGCAGGTGAAAAACTCTCCCTGTCTCAACACTTTCTTTCCTTTCACATACCATACTTTTCTTTCCTCTCATTCTGTATCTTAAGTTAGAAGGAAGAAGGAGGTCATCACAATCACTTGTCTGAAGGTAACTGCTTCATTCTTGACTCTCTCTTCCTCTTGGTCCTGCAGGCTATGATCCAAACTATTAAGCAAGAGGTTACAACCATCCCTATTTAGGAATTCCCCACTCAGGAATCCCCATGGAATGGCTGGGATTTAAGCACATCATTAAAATAGTTTCCTGAGCCAACCCTGTAACACTCGAATTATAAACTTTAAGCACACAATCATTTCAACTGCAAGCCTTCTGGGTGTCTGGTGTCTTTTACCATTTCCCTCCTTCTTTTAAGGTTGTCAGAAGTTGCTCACCGTTGTCCTGTCCCTAATCCTTGCTCCTCTCTCCTGTGCAGAGTCCCCACATTCAAGGAGGGAAGGTGGCACTTCCAAGCAGCAGCTTCTCCTACTTTTCAGAGGAAGCAGGAGTTTCAGCTGCAGATTGATTTGGACAGCCAGCCTGGATTCTGCTCTCCTAAGTAATGAGGAATGACAGTTTCCTATTAGACTGTCTGTTTAGGATTTTTTATAATGTTTTTTTCTTTTTGACTGATTATAGCTACATAAGACAGATGAACTCAGGGAGCATCTGGTTAACAGTAGGCTACTTCAGTGTTTGTGGTAGTGAAAACACGAACAGATCAAGCAATGAACAAATTTTTGCTTTTGGTAGGGTGCAATATTACAGGGTGGAGTTAAAAATGTTTGCCTTTCAACAGACAAAACATTTGAGTAGATGGATTTCTGGCAGCGAACAATGTGTTCAGCCAAGCAGTTTCTCAATGTCCATGCTAATTAATATTCCACTGTATAAACATTACAGATAAAAAGTTTGAAAATAACTCTTTTTATTGTGGGATGTTTGTTAGAGATTATAATAATTTACTTCATATTTTCCAACAAGCCAATGGGTTCTGGAAATATTTATGGGCACAGAATACACTGTTTACAATTGCGGAGTGAATGATCTTACTTTGAATCAATGACTTCCTGTTTCTCGTTTGATTCCCCAAAGGAGGAAAAAAATGAGTTCATCTCTCTTGGCTTAATAGAGTACTCTGAATCAGCAGTCCAACCTACACAGAGTCCTCCCCTTCTTCCTGCTCCAGTTCCCACTGCAAAGCCCTCCGTTTTCCCCCCGAGTCTGTAAAAATAAAATCTTTTGAAAAGTAAACTAAAAAAGCGCACATTAAAGCTCTAAGTTCTAATTATGTCATCAAAAATTAATTGAGACAAGTTTGACAAGTCTGGAAAGATTAAATTCGTCTTTTCCATTTTTTAAGTTTATAAACCTCTTCATAGGCTTCAAGAAGTCAGAATGTCACATTCTCCCCAAAGGGACTGATATAATTTCCTTTTCTTTGCTGTCTGCTTGGAAATTATCAAAATACATTTCAGGGGGAAGGAGGGAACAATGTTCTTGCTTTTTGAAGCATGTTACAAATTTACATATTCCTTATCACACTGTGTTTTCCTCTGTTATTAACAAAACGCTGCGTTTAACTAAATGCTTCATATTCTGTCCTTCTGTTTTGTACATCCTTTCTCTGCTGGAGACAGCCTGCTAAGTCCTTCTGTTTCAACAGGAGCTGGTTTGCGCAGTGCATGGTGGGTTCCCTACACCATCCTAAAAAGTTCACCAGCCCAAATGCATTTGGACCATACCTCTCGAATTTCAGGCCCTTTTCTTCTTCTTCCACCCTTTTCACCTAAACTCGGCACTTCCAAATATTTTTGGAGCTGTAAAGGTGGTTGGACTGGAGAAGGGAAATGATGAGACACAAAGTGGACCTGTTTGGGAATCAAGGAAGTCATTCTCAGGTTTGTTGCTGGCCAGGGCCCTTACTCATGTCGAAACAGTGCTAACTTTATTTTCCATTTGACTCATTTTGCATAATTCTGTGCTCAGCCAACCTGTAGCCTGAGCTATTTAAAACTTCCTTCAAAATCCTTTTTACAAACATTTTTTCTGCTGCTTCCTAAATATTGATGAGGTTGTTCCCATGAAGGAACATGTCAGCCCGGGCTCTCCCACCCCAGCACGGGGTGCAGACCCCTGACAGCCCTCCTGGCTTCAGGGGCCAGGCTGCTCCCTCCCAGCTCACTGCTGAGCCACTGCCGGCTCGGCTTCCCAGGGAAACGGGACAACCGACGGCGGCTCAGCCGCAGCGCGCCGTCACATGCACCTAGCAAACAGCATTAAAGCACAGAAAATCATTTTCCCGATGACAGCAATTTTAAAGGTTGCAGTGTGACATCACACTAGGTACAAAGTTTAAATTCTACATGAAATTCTGAAAGCTGATGGTGTTAGAAAGAGCTTCATTTTGCATGTCAGTTTGGAACTTGTGTTCTTCTCGCTTTCCTCTTTGGGGGAACAGCAGGGATACGACAACGGCACGGCCAACCGGACGAGAGGAGCCTGGACCTTAAGGGACCTCAAGCGACCTCAAGCTCGCCAGATGTCTCCTGCCGTGGTGACACCGCTTGACGCACCCCCGGGGTACTGCAATCGGTGCCACGGCGGTGACCTAACACAACGTCGCCCTCCGCCCTGACGGCGCC